ATAACTGAGTACAGTGACAGCATAAAGGCCCAGTCATTTCAGCTCCCTTCAGGACAACTTTGATGAGCCAAGTGCTCCCCAGAGCTCTTGAGAGATTGATGGAAGCATCAGGCCTGCATTGCAATTCATCTTCTTCTTCCATCTAACTGCTTCCTCTACCTTTCTTCTAGGGAATTTGATATCTAATAAATACTTGTCATGCCAATCTTTGTTTTTGCATCTGCTTCCAGAGAACACAACTTGCAGCACACCGGGACCTACTTGTTTTCCAAATCAGAAATCCAGAGAAACCAAGAGTTATCTCTCTTGCCCCCCTCACTCATCAGTCATCAAAGCCTGGCAATTCTTTTTCCTAAATCTTACCATTATAGCTAGTTTCTCTACTACTCCCTACTCATTTCCAATATTCTAGCTCCGTTTTTGCATACCTGGCAGGCCTGTCTTAAACTTTATGGTTAAGATTTTATCCATTGAATGGACCCAGAAGGGTCATTGTTTTCCTCTTTGCTGAATTGCAAGTTTACAAGTCTCTCTTGTTTATTTAACTATCTGCTTCTCTGGGCTAGATGCCGAGTCTTATTTTTCTTCTTGGTATTCAACCTTCCCAAAACTTCACTCACACCCTCAACTTCATAGCAGAAACCTTAACCAGTCCCTGACACTTAGAGAAACTCTGTAGGCATTTGGTTAATTAGCACATCAATAATATTGTCCAGGTAAATAAGATTTAAACAATGCCTAGTGTGGTATTGTTTAAACCTACAGTTAAATAGTTGTGCCTTACAGAGTGCTTGTCTATAAAATGACTTAAACACATCATTCACACATCATAAACCTGCCCCTTTTTCATCTTTTTGTTATATGTCATTGTGAAACAGTTAGCTGTAATATCCCCACAGAGAGTATTTTGTGTAGGTAACTCAGTTCATTGGGAGAAGAGAACAGATTTTAATCATTGCTTAAATGATTAAATCTTTGTATATTTGTAGTTCCAGTTTGCCAAGTCTGAAAAAGCTACCATCATGCTGTGTATACGTTGTATATATAACATGGAAAATTATCTGTGTTCAAGGGAAATAGCTAAATAAGGGAGGTTTGGATCCATCCATGTGATGAAATGTGGTTTAGTATTAAAAAGCAAATCCATTCTCAGAGATTGACTAGGATGATACTTGGAAAATAATCTCATATGGTTAAATTTAGGACCCTAAAAAAAATTCCACCTAACAATCTCCTCTCTAGCATTTTCATTTGACTATAATTTGAATATATTTTCATTTATTTTAAGTCTTTTCCTTGGAATTACCTATTCCAAGGTTCTTAAATCAGTGGTAAGAGAACTGTTGGCCAAAGTTATGACATCCCTTATACAAATGATCTTTTTAATTATATGACTGTGTTTTAAAAGCAGCTTTATGTAGCCAAGATGTTTTTAGTTTATGATTTGCAAGAATTGCTTTGTGATTTTTGCCACTGAACCTGGTCTTCTTCCTCTCTCTGTTGCAGCTCTGTTTTTTTTTCTCCCTCTTTGCTGAGGTCATCTAAGAAAGATAGAGAAGCTTATCGGTAATTGCACATTGATCTTTCTGTTTGTAATTTAAGATTGAAATCTTTCAAAGAAAAGGGAAATTGGCGTGGATCACTCTTATCCCTTAGAATTTCAATTTTCATTAAACAGATGTTTACGAAGCACCAGCTGTGAACCAGCACTGTAAATACATGTGTTCACATGTCTGTGAAGCCATGTGTTATGAAGAAGACATTGAAACCTATTAACAATTCCTAATCAGTGTGATGAATGCTGTAAGGGTAAACACAGGAGGCTTTATAAGCACTAAATGAACATCTGAATCCACACTGAATGGGGCCACCTCCTTTCTGGGTAGGTGACACTTAGTGTTTGAAAGAACAATGGGAATTAGCCAGGGAAAAGGAGGAAGTCATAAGTTAGGCAAGCTGGAAAGGGTCTTCTAAGAAGGGAGTAGTTGGTGAAATTGCAAGAAATTCTCTCTTTTATAAGGAGAGTGAAAAGAAGGAAATAATAAAAGATAAGACTGGTGGAAAAGGATGATAAAATTATAGGCATCTACAATTTTCCATCTCTGGTTTTCTAGGAAAGGTGGATTTCAGAGATAACAGTCCTTATTTTCTGAGTGGAGTGAAAGATAAAGACGGAAAATGAAAGCAGCTGAAGATTGCCTTACATACAGAAGAAGGTGGATAGACCCACTTGGAGAACAAAGGATTTGGGAGATAGAATCTTACACAGTCAGGATGGAGTAATAAGCTGGTGGAAAAGTCAAAGAGGAGGTAGAGATAGAGGGAAAGGGAGAGACAAAGAGACACAGAGAAAAACACACACACATACAAACACACACATAAGACAGAGATAATAGCAAAGACCTGGAACCAACCCAAATGCCCATCGATGATAGACTGGATAGGGAAAATGTGGCACATATACACCATGGAATATTATGCAGCCATCAAAAACGATGAGTTTGGGTCCTTTGTAGGGACATGGATGAACCTGGAAACCATCATTCTCAGCAAACTGACAGGAGAGCAGAAGATCAAACACCGCATGTTCTCACTCATAGGTGGGTGTTGAACAATGAGAACACATGGACACAGGGAGGGAAGCACTACACACTCTGGTCAGTTGGGGGGAAATAGGGGAGGGAGGGTGGGGGGGGGGAGGCGGGGGAGAGATAGCAGGGGGAGAAATGCCAGATGTAGGTGATGGGGAGGAAGGCAGCAAATCACACTGCCATGTGTGTTCCTATGCAACAATTCTGCATGTTCTTCACATGTACCCCCAAACCTAAAATGCAATAAAATAAATAAATGGGAAAAAAAAAAGATTTGGATTGACAACGGTAAAAAAAAAAAAAAAAAAAGACAGAGATAGTGAGAGACACATGATAGAGGGCGGCAGAGACAACTAGAGAGAAACAGGTAATGAGAGAACAAACAGAGACGAAGATCAAGACATACGTGGAAAGACAGACATTAACAAGGAGACAGAGAACAAGAAAGGCAGCAACTACCACAGAAATGAGAATGTTAAAAAAAAGAGAGCTGCTGTTATTTAGGTTTTAAGATTTCTTGTGTATTGTGTTATGTAATGCCCTTTGTTTTTCCACAAAGAGTTTAGTAGAACTACCCTGCTTATCAACGTTTTTGACTTAGAGTTTTTCTTCTGGGTATATTACCATGGTCAACCTGTCCCCACAGATGCCCAGTTGTGTACTATACTTGTCTGTTAATGTATGAAATATCAGGGGTAATGCTAAGAATATATCATTCAATTAGACTATGCCTAAGGAATAAGTAAATATTTTTATTTACTTACATTGCCAAAATAATTTTTTAAAAGCTCATTTTTATTGCCTTGATGTTGAATAGAAGACTGTGGAGGAAGACAAAATCACCACAGGATGAAACATTTAAATAATAAAAATTACCCAACTTTTAGGCTCAGGTCTCATTTATTTGGACTGAATGAGTCCAAATTCTCCAATTGAAAGCTATTTTAAGAGATAGCTTGGTGATATAGTCTTCCAAAAAGTCACCACCTTAAGAAATAGCTTCTGCATGCTATCTAATAATCAGTTGGCAGCATAGGTGTTTACCTAAGATTAATCTAATAGACTTTGTTTGCTTAATAGCTAATCATCACTTAGGAGTCACAATAACTACAAGGTGAGTGATTACAGTGGCCATGTTGGTAATAATCCCTAAAAGAATTTAAAAGCATCAAAGTCATGAATAAGAACTGAAAGAACTGGTAATGATTTTCTGGAGTGCAGTTTTGGTTTCCCACCAGGGGCCATCCTGGACCCCTTTAAGGGCAACAGTCAAATCACATGCTTTGTCCCAGCTTATGGACAAAGGAGTAGATGTAATGGATTTTTACTCATCTAATCTACTACTTAAATTCATGCTAATGTACCCCTGCATAGCCTTATACTGTGACTACCTAGTCTACTCTTCATCCTCTCAGTATTGAGAGATGGGAGATTAGACAACAGGAAAAGGAGATTAATACAGACTTTACAAGACATAATGTGGTCACATCCCATCTCTTGGCCCAGATTTAAGAGCATCAGAGTTTTAAAGGCCCAGTGGCTTAAAACCAACTAACCAACTAAACAGAATCCTACCCAAATACTGCATTACATTTACCACATGAGGGAGTGTAGCATTATAGATAATTCAGCCCAAGTGGTACTTCTGAGTGCAAATGAACTCAGGCCATGTTCCAGCATTAACTCTGATGATTTTTGTGAACATTTGTTTTCTAATGCAATCTTTGTTCATCTCTAATGAACTTTTTATGTCATCCATTTAAAATAGGTTTATCTTGCACTCTCACAAAAACAATGCCTATTTCTCAAATTGATAGTTGCAAGAAAAGGTCTGATTTCCCAATACAGATTGGTGTGTGTGTGTGTGTGTGTGTGTGTGTGTGTGTGTGCAATGAAAATAATCTATGTGCTTTTCAAAGTGGCCAGGGTCACGTGGCTGTAATCTAGTTGTTCTAGATTAAAAACAGAGTCTTGGTATGCTGATTATGGGTCCCAGTTGTATGACAATTTGTTGGTTATTCCACTTTTGTGAGTAGGCACATAAGACTGACCAATATCTCAGGGAAGTAGAAAAAATGAACTAACATAAGGTTATTAAGTGTTTTTGATCAAGATAGAATATTATAGTAAAATGATGTTTTTCCTGTCATAATACGTGATAATGCATGTGAATTAAATAATCCAAACGCTACCTTTAGATTTTAACTAGAATGATCATCAGTTACTGAGTAATTTTTAATGAGTCACTCTTTTTCACTAATAGGAAAAAAACTCCAAAGATAATGGAAACATTTCACTGCTACACTTAAAGATAGATTTTTAGATTATTGTTGTAATAGGTAACTTATTAGTTGAGTAGTAGGAACTACTTACTGACTTCAGGGTTTTCTATGATAATATAGTTATGTTAAAGGGAATATCAAGGTTTTGCAAATTATAGTCTGGTAAAATTCAGATCCCTGAGATATTTTTTAATGGTTTTATTCATCATTTCCCTTTGTCTGCATAGTTTATAAAAGTAGCATTCCTAGCTCTAATTCATCTTTGGAATGTTATGTAGATTCCATACCTCTCCCCACTGCTTACCTGCACCCTCCCAGCCCCATTCCCTGCCAGATTTCAGCATTCTGTTCTCTGTTCTTTCTTCCTTTAACTGAAAGAAATTGAATGCCTAGAACTGCCTCCCATAATACTAAGAAGGAGAACAATGCTGTTATCTGCTTCATTTTATGGACACCAGTGATTTTCCTATAGAGGAATAACTGTTGATTAAATATTTTTCATGCTTCTTCACATTTCCTGGTTCTGCAGCTCTTGTTTCCCTGACTTAAAGCAAAAATATTACTTGGTTAGGATACTATGCTCTATTTCAAATCAGTTTGCCATCAAAATTTGGTTATTGGAATGTCTTTTAAAAGGCAAACTGCCCATATTTGAATATTACTCACATGATCAGAAATGAACCAGCAATCTTCTCAGTTGGTTGATAAATTTAATAAGTGACTTTTCAAAGAGCTCTTTATAATTATCCTTCTTTTAAAAATATAACCCCTAAGCTGATTTCTAGTTATTGCTTAATACCTTTATCAAAACATAAGTAAATATATAAAAGCACATTTATATTATCTGCAACATTCACATTTTCCAGCTAGAGAAACTATGCCGTTTATCAGTTATTATATTAATAATTGTCATTGGTAGACGTTATTAGGGAAGTTATACCATTTTAAAGACATGTCATAACAAAATAAGCCACAACGGCAACAACAGCACCAATTCTAACTCTGGTACTACTGCTACTACTGGTAATTCTGTGTCTACCGGCCCTATGAGATAAGACTGACAGGTATGCTTATTCCCATTTTAAGGATAAGGAACTTGAAGCTGAGCACACTTCAGTGACTTATTCAAGATCAAAGCACATACCCAAGGTAGAAGTAAGGAGAGAAACCAGTTTTTCTGACTTTCAAGAATACATAGTTGGGAATTGGGCTTTTGTTATGTTAACAGCACCTGATGTATCAGAGAAGTTTGCCTCTTTATCAAAGCAAAATGAACATATTTGTACAAAAAATACCACATTAAAAATTTTTTATAAATCTTGAGACTCCAGATTTCATGGTCAGTATGACTGGTTTTTCCCATCTGCCAAAACTTTGTGTCGCTGCTTGGTCCTAAAGCATTGGAGAAGCTTATTCAGATATCGGTCAGTAGCCTGCAATAGTTGAACTGCAGTTACAACATGAATTCAATCTACACTGTACTTTAGTTTGAAGCTCTGCTGTTTCTGTGCAGCACTTGAGCACAGGAGATTTTTATGACCAGGGAATCTTGTTGTCTGAGATCTTGGCTCCTTACACACCCTACTCAACCATTCCCTCTTTGAAGTCTCACCACTTTCTTAGGTTGCTGTCAGAGCATATGTAGGCAATACTTAGGGGACTTATAGATATCTCTCCTTTTTCAGGATATATTTCAGCTTATCAAATACATTGCTTCTCTTTTCTGCCTGACTTCCTGACCCTCAAAGCATTATTTTCTTTCTTTCTGCCTCTGACTTTGCCAAAGTCTCTGAGGCTGGGGTTGCAGTCTGCTCAAGGAGTGGCTAAAGGAGGACACATACAAGTTATCCTGCCAAGCACATTACAATGGAAAGATAATCAGTAGTGCCCCTTTAAATTATTTGAAACATTTATGGAACCCAAAGCTTTTACCTATTCTGGGCTGAAATGCAGAGAAAATTTGGGCTGGTGATATTTGCATTAGCCATATATGCTATAAGGAGTAGAAAAAAATCATACATCCTTCAATTCTTGGTAGTAAGTGGAAATAACCGGTGATCCTGAACAGATTCTGATTAGAACAACGAGGTATTCACTGTGTTTTTCAAATTTTAATAAGACTTTAAGCAAGATTTTTAAAAGCAGAGGAAAGTATATATACTTGACTGCGATTTCCACTGTCAGTTTATCATTAATAGCCACAAATCAGAGGGGAGTGCCAGCTATCTCCAGAATGGCAGAATAAAGCATTCTTCAGAAGCAGTGAATGGGGCCAGGCATGATGGCTCACGCCAGTAATCCCAGCAGTTTGGGAGGCTGAGGTGGGCAGATCACCTGAGGTCAGGACTTTGAGACCAGCCCGGCCAAGATGGTGAAACCCCATCTCTACTAAAAATACAAAATTTAGCCAGACATGGTGGCACATGCCTGTAACCCCAGGTATGAGGGAGACTGAGGCAGGAGAATCACTTGAACTTGGGAGGCAGAGGTTGCGGTGAGCTGAGATTGTACCACTGCACTCCAGCCTGGGTGACAGAGTGAGACTCTGCCAAAAAAAAAAAAAAAAAAAAAAAAAAAAAAAAAAAAAGCACTGAATGGCTTAATTCTTTTTCTTTATAGTCATTTTTTCTGTACTTAGGGAAAATGTTCATAATAGAAGTATAACATTGATCTGCTGTCAAAAGTTATTTGTTTCATAATAAAAAATGTACATATTGTATTACAGTTTCAGTTCCCTTATTAACAAATAGCCTATTCTAGTGCTGTGTTCAATATTTTTACTTAAGAACACTGAGTAGGCATTGGGTCAGAAACAACACTTGCTTAGGGAATGATTTGTCCTGCAAAGTCTTTGGAAAGAAATGAGTGTCTGAGTTTAATCCAGTATCAGGTGTTGTGTATCACAGTATGTGAGAGAGTATTAGATCATAGATGGAATTTTGATACTGTGTCTCCCATATACTGCAATGCTGTGTGGTTGTGGCTGAGTCTTAATGAACCCTATGATGTCACTTCCCCATTATAAAAACAAACGAAGAGAATAATGATTTATTGTGATACTTTCTTTACTTGCTTCTCAACTCCCCACAAGATCTTTAATAAAACTGGATCTTCAGAAACAGTTTAAGAAGACTTGAAAGTAGTTATATCTGACACTTTTGTGGAAGATCTGGAATACATGAAAGATGGATGAATTTGGCGGTTTGTAACGTATTACCAGGATCTATTTTTGGCTGGGCGCGGTGGCTCACGCCTGTGATCCCAGCACTTTGGGAGGCTGAGGCGGTGGATCATGAGGTCAGGAGTTCAAGACCAGCCTGGCCAAGATGGTGAAACCCCATCTCTATTAAAAGTACAAAAATTAGCTGAGCATGGTGGTGGGTGCCTGTAATCTCAGCTACTCAGGAGGCTGACACAGAGAATTGCTTGAACCCTGGAGGTGGAGGGTGCAGTGAGCCGAGGTCACACCACAGCACTCCAGCCTGGCAACAGAAAGAGGCTCCATCTAAAAAACAAAACAAAACAAAATCTTACCGGAATCTATTTTTATCCCATGTTCACCGTAGCATTAGGACCCAGCAACGCATTTTAGGTTAAAGAAAAGGGCAGAAAAAAACAAAAAGAAAAAAAATAATCAGAAAATAATTGACTTATAAACCTTTAAGTTCTGTTTTAAACTCTAAAATCCCCATAAGAGCCCATCAGTCCCAAGAATGAGCAATTGTGCTCATTAATAATAAAGAGGCACACTAGAAAAGAAGTTGAGGATATCATACCTAGGCTTAGTGATATGATGTTTTGAAAGTGAGTGTACAGTTGGAAAAATACAATTTCATTAGTCCTGTCAGGGTTTTTTGAACCAGAGAAGAACCCTGAGACCTGATGAGGGTCCATACAAGCCTTGGTTGAATGCGGTTGCAAAATATATGACCTAAACTGTAGGTAGGGACAGTCAATGGGCAGTGCTCACTCTTGGAAGTATTTTCTTTAATGTTTGACCAGGAGTTATGCAACTGTTTTTATAAGGCACCTCAAATTTGGCTCACAGTAGAGCCAAAAAGTTAAATACTAGCTCAGGGTTCCACAATATCCTGGTTTTCTAGGTGGCACAACAACAGGATTTTCACTTTGCCATATTGCCCATGGAGCTGCACCACCCTATTGCCAAGGTGAGAAGCCCGCCTTGGGCCAAAAGCAACTGTCCTGTTTCCGTTTGTGGTTGGACTGAAGATGTTCACATGCCTAATAACCCCTGTGCCCAAAAGAAAAGCAGGTGACATTAGGTTAATGCAATATTGATGTGTTAAGAGGGTTTTCACAACTCAGGAAACTCTCTTAGCTGAGCTGGTTCTCCTAAATTGTTGAGTCCTGTTTTCCGTGGCATGGTGCAGCTGATGTTGTCACTCTGTGGTCAGAAGCAGGAAAGCTGGTGGGGTGGAGAGAGATTAGCGGTCTGGAAGTATGTAATTGGTATTTCATGGCAACGGGGAGTTGACAGCCCTCAGGGACCACAAATGGAGGGGAGGACCAACAGCTCAACTGGACTAAAACAAACTATGATTGAAAAAAAAGTAAGAGAGAAATATATGCAAGCAGTTAAGAATTTGATAAATTACTCTATAGATGAATTCCATATTGCCTTCCTTAAAAGATAAAGTGTTAAGTGAGATAGTATTTGTAAAGGAAGTTACCATAGTGCCAGGATGATAGTGATTAATCAATTGAAAACCTGACAGCTTTTAGTATTATTCCGTATGGGAAGCAGTTTGGTATAACTTAAGCTTAGCAGAAGTATTATTTCATTTAAATTTTCCCCTTATTTGTACTAGAGAATTTAATCCTTATTTCAGATCTTGTACCTGACACTGTGGGTGGAAAAACTCCACTCATGAATTTGGAGACGGCAGGCACACAGCTATGGCAGTTGCCATCCAACTGAGTGTGGTTAGTTTGTGTAATTGAAGCCAAGCAAAGCTAAGGCAGTGCTGGTACATGGATCCTTCTGTTAGACTAAATAAAGAACAGTGAACCCATTTTTATGGGAGAAGAAAAGAAAAAATTGTTCTTAACAGTAGGGGATGGCTTCAGTCTAGGAACCTCAGGCTGTGTCTAAATGTTACCAAATATTCAGATGAAGCTGTACAAAAATTTATTTAGTCGTCCAGATGTTTCCAGAAATACAATATTTTGATTTCATGTAGATGAAATCAGGGAAAG